CAGGGATTATAGGCACGCACCACCACACCTTGCTTTTATTTTTAAAATTCATGTAAAACTTTTCAGCACATTTGCCACCCCATGATTCATCACGGAGGGGTGGTTTATGTGTGTAACACGCCTCGACTCTTTATTTCCCCTTCCTCTCCCCAGACTCAGTTTCCAAGTACTTCACTGCTCTTTGTTTGTAATTTTATTCTGTTGGGGTCAAAAGATGTTTTAGAAATATTTCATCCTTTCAACACTGAGAGAAAGTTGTTTTACAGCTCCCAGTGTGTCTGCTTTGGTGAGTGTCAAGTTGTGCATGAGGAAGGAGACTGTTTTCCACCTAGCAACTGCAGGCTTCTATAAAGGCAAGCAGAAAGTGGTTGATAGTTTCTTTCTTTTTATATTCTAACTTTTTGGTGCAGGTTGTCAGTTACAAAGACACATTTCAAATGTTCCTGGTGTCATTATAGGTTTCTTTCTTTTTCTATTTTGAAATTTTGTAGACACACAGGAGGTGTCAAAAAGCACTTAATGTTTTAAAAATTATAGTAGCACACACACTGCTATTAATCCTTAAAATACTGCCCTTTCCTTCCAACCACTTTCCGAGGCAGTTCCCGAAGTCTTCTGTGAAAGTGTTTAATGGCACTGCTATGTCTGCCTTGAGGTCATCCATCAATCCAAACATTCACCATTTATGGCCCTTCTGACTCTGGGGAAGAACCAGAAGTCATGTGCATCAGACTCGGGAAGAAAGATGAGAACGCGGTGTTTTACGGTCTTCCTTTCGGCCAGGTGACACCTGGCAGGAGTACTCACTGCATCTGCAATCACACCCTGCGGACACAAGGGTTTCCAGAACTGCCTCACCCAGTGCCAAAAGGGTTACGCATGTGCAAAGCCAGGGGAACATTTCGAGGGACGAAGTGTCTTTCACTTCATAAATTAGAAAAAAATGTAAACATTCACCACGCATTGATATCTTATGTACATAACTAAATGTTTTGTTTTTCTGAAATAGTGACCCAGTATCATTATGAAATACTTTTACTGTCTGCAGTAATTCTTGAATTTAACCATACTTTTGCTGATGACCGTTTGCATGATACATATTTTTTCATCCTTTTCTATTTGTGGCTTTGTGTCTAAAATTCATGTCTTAATAGAGTACCTGTTCTCTCAGTAGTCTTTACTGTTTTTGGGGGGAGAGGAGGGTCTCACAGTCTTGAACAGGCTGGCTCCAAACTTTGGTGCTCAAGTGACCCTCTTGCCATAGTCTCTTGAATAGCTAGGGCAGTACCAAGATGTGCCCATTCACCTGCTTGTTTTTTCAAAAAATTAATCCAATTTGACAGTCCCTGCCTTTGAATTGTGATGTTTACAGATTTGCATTTAATTTTGGATTTAGTTCTGCTAATTTTTTTTCTAACCTCACATTTCTGTCTTCTTTAGGGCTCAAAAAAATACTTCTTAGTCTTTCAGTTCTACTTACTTCTAAGATTCACTTTTTGCAGTATTTCTAGTGGTTTCTGCAGGAATTATGAAACACAGCTTTACCACATTTAATTAAGACTTAGTTAATTGAATGCAACTGTGAAGTTTCCATAACCATTCCCATACTTTGTGCTAGTTTTAATGATATAAATCTCACAATATTTTAATTTTTTTTTTTTTTTGTCTTTTTCATTTTTATCGGTACCAGGGACCGAACTCACGACCGCCTGCTTGCAAGGCAGGTGCTTATGCCGCTGAGCTAAATCCCCAGGCCCAACAATATTTTAATTTTTCAACAACATTTTTTTGGTCTTTTTGAGACAGGATCTCTCTATGCAGTTCAGGCTGGCCTTGAGCTCACTTTGTAGCACAGGCTGGTCTCGAGCTAGCAATGATTCTCCTGCCTCAGCTTCCTGAGTGCTGGGATTACAAGCGTGAGACACCACCCCCAGCGAGAACATTTTTTTAAAAAATAAAAATATGATTAAAACCTATTTTTGGTGCCAAGATGGAACCCAGAATACTGTCCATGCTAAGCATGTGCTCCTCTGCCAGGCTACATCTCTATACCCATAAAATATAATTTAAAAATGCTTTGACCGGGGCTGGGGATTTAGTTCAGTGGCATAAGCACCTGCCCTGCAAGCAGGCGGTCGTGAGTTCGATCCCCGGTACCGATAAAAAGGAAAAAGACAAAAAAAAAAAAAAATGCTTTGACCGGGGGTACAGCTCAGTGGCACAGAATCTGCCGGGCAGGTGTGAGCTCATGAGTTTGATTTCTGGTACCAAAAAAACCCCAACCAACCAACCAACCAAAAAACCTTATTTTCCATTTCTGGTGATGTTGCTTATAGATCGAATGCACAAAATTCTTCTTTCCAAGATGGGTATGGGGGTACACACTTACATCCCAAGCTTGCTTTGTACAGCAGTATAATTCTGTGAAACATTCTGCTGAGCAGGACTCTGTGGGGCAGTGGGTGGGCACATGGACTGCCACCAGTGCTCTCCAGCTACACGGCAACCATTTATGCCACCAGTCACATTCAGAGAGAAAGGGTAGGAATACATTTTCTTTTTTTACAAAGATATTTGTGTTAGCAAATTTAAACAATAGTAAACTATAATGTCTGTGATGAAAATACTAATATTAGTGTGTTGCTTTCTAGATGTCTGTATGTGCCAAAACATACGAAAGTTTGACGAATTTTTTCAAATTTACTGTTCACACACAAGATCATTCTGAAGGTATGAAGTGTCCGGTAGGACTCTGACAGTTTCAGGCCCTGGAGATATAATGGCAAGTAAAACAGGGCTAGAAGCTATTCCATGAAGAATTTCTTTTCTACTTTCTACTCTGGATTTTGCATTTAAGTATATGATTATATATAGAAAAATTCATCAAAATAAGCAAAGCAAAGTGTGAATGACTCCTCCATTACTATTCTGCTTTTCCCAATGATCTGTGGTGGTTCCCATGGAAACAGTTCAATTTTTATAAATATACTAATTTCCTACTGATGGGCACTGGTTTTCCTTATTAATTTTTTAAAAACCCTCTCAAACCACTAGCCTTTTATGCTTAATGTGCTACCCTTGTTTTATTGCTTGGACAAAATACCTGATGCTCAAAACTTAGGAAGAAAAGATTTAGCTCACAGTTTGTGGAGGTTTCAGTCCATAATCAGCTGGCTCCGAGGCAGGGCAGCATGGTACCAGGGCAACACTTCAAGGCAGCAGACGACAGCAAAAGCAGCAAGAGCAAAAAGGGGGAAGGACCAGTCTCTTCTCTTCCTTTATACTGTGAGCAGGCCACCACACCCTAGGGCAGGTGTAGCACTCACACCACCTCTGTACCCTCCTCTTGCACAGGCTGAGGATGTCTACAAACTGAGGACCCTGGCCCCTGCTGAGTTGAGCAGCAAACGCGATCATCCTTTCCTGAGGTGAGGGCATGATAGTAAGAGGTCCAGGGTTAACAAACTGCTTTTGAAAAGCCTGCCCCCATGACTACAGGATGCTTTGGGGAGACAGCCAGACACTAACCGTAACACTCTGGATAAACTCAAGTGCAGCTGCTAGTGTAGCAGCAAGCGTTACAGCCCACATTCAGTGTTACAGGTCACCGTGTTACAGCTATCTGAGACCAAGCACTGTGCGGCACCTGAGGTTTGCAGACAAATGGACAGCTTTATTTAGACCAGCAAGCCTGATGGGATCGCTCGCCAGAGTCAGACCTTGCCCTCTCAGCGAGCAGGGGTATAGTTCATGTGAAAATAAAAACACAGATTGATTGGATGGGAAGTTGCACTGAATTTCACCTTTTTTCATATGGTGGGAATATAAATTGGAAGTACATGATTCGTCAAGAGGTTATATTCTGGTTTTCACCTACTTTGGTAGGAAGGAAAGAGGATCACATCATTCTGGGAAGAGAAACTCACCAGGGCTTACTGAAGGCTGGGGGCTCCTTTTTTGCTTTATACACAATGAAAACACTGACACTTCTTGTTCTGTTCAGCAATCTCAATATGAGAACTACATCCCGTTGAGAAGGGAAATGGAACACAGAAGCCATGAAAGAACACACAGATGATATCTATTAGTACTTTAAAAATAATAAGGTTATTTTTTTGTTTTTGTTTTGAGACAGGGTCTCAGGATGCAGTTCATGCTAACCCCAAACTCATAGTGACCCTCCTGCCTAAGCCTCCCAAGTGCTGGGATTACAGGGGTGCACCACCATGCCTGGCAGTATTCAAGGTCTTAAAAGTGACTTCTGAAATTAAAATGTTCAATAAAAGCTAAGTTATACCCTGTGGAGGACCTGAGTGAAGGAAAGATTATTAAGTCAATGAGGGCCAGGTATTACTACGTAAATTCACAGATCTGACAATGTATGGGTAAAGATTAGGGAAACACGCTGGCCTCGGGCACTGTTCCCTGCCACTGGCTTAGATTAACCCAAAGTGTCACAGCAGATCTCCTTGTTCCTAGACACCCACACTTTCTCTGTTTGTCGTCTCCCTCCCCCCCCCCCCACTATAAAACCAGAGTGTTCATGGTCTGAGACTGATCTCGTGGGACTGGTGCCCTCTGTACAGTCCCTCTAGGCCTGTTGTGTTGGGACCAAGTCGTCTCCCAAGTACTTTTTATTTTCTGTGCCGCCACAGTCGCACGTTCTAAAAATACCCTTTATGTTTTGAATACAACTTGTAAACTATAACCTTTTTGCACTGAAATACCTATCTTAGAAATGGTTTTCCTAAATTACCACCTAAACTAAGTGGTATTTTATCAGATTTTCAAACTGATCAAAATTATTCTTTCATTTGGTAAATACTATTTTATAGCAACAAAACTGTCAGGCACGGTGGTGTGTGACTGCAATCCTAGAACATGGGAGGCTGAGGCAGGAGAATTGCTATGAGTGCAAGGCCATCCTGGGCCACATGAGCTCAAACTCAGCCTGAATTAAGAGAGCAAGACCCTGTCTCAAAACAACAAAAACAACAAAATGTTTCAAAACAAGACTTTATTTATTAATAAAGTAATTATGTTCTTTGAGGGAACAAAAAAGCTTTAAAATGTTTTACATACATGTTAATCAGGCCATCCAAAAGACAAAGCAGAGTCAACATTACATCACCATCCAGGGTTATACAAATGAGAAATAAATACAAGACTTATGGTACTTGATAAGACAACCATGGTAAATTGTATTTCAAACTTGTTTATATAAAAGCATATTAAAGATCACTTCAAATGGCGCATGCCTGTAATCCCAGTACTTGAAAGGCTGAGACAAAAGGGTCGCCATGAGTTCCAGGCCAGCCTTGGCTAGCTAAACAGTGAGTTCATGGCCAGCCTGGACTACACAGCAAGACCCTGTCTCAAGAAAAACAAAAAACAACCAGACAAAAAAAAAAAAATCACTTTTAAAATAGTGTCCATCTTTTTGCTTTGATGCATATAGATTCATCTGCAATCATGTACAAATATAATAAAATTAACAGCTTTCTTAATCTTTTTAATATGAATACAACTGCTTGCTTCTTTATGCAACCCAACAAAATAATATAGTGAAGTCATTAGAAAAATATGGACCTTTGTGAATCTATACTGCCTTTTTAATTTAAATTGAAAAATACAGTTTAGAGCATATGAAAAACAAGGATTTCAGATTTACACTTGTCTGTATCCAACAAATTATTAGACATGACCTTTATTTTGGCTGCAATGCAAAAATATTATATCTTAACAGGTTAAAAATACTCTCTATTGATAGCAGTGCTAGGCATGGAAAAAAACATGAAACATACCTGTAGATTACTGTCTATTCATATGCCCAAAGGATGCAGGTCCTAACCCCGAGCCCTTACTATGCATTTGCTGTGAAAGTAAGTGAATGGATAAATTATAGGTCTGATTATCTTAAACACCCATGTAAACACAGTCAAATTTGCTCTCCAAGAAATAAAATTCAAGTAAATATTGCATATTTGATTTAAACTAACTTTACAGTCTTGCAGACCTATGACTCCTTCGATCATAACCACTAAATATGTAAGAAGTTTTTGCTTTTTTAAAAAAATCATCCTACGTGAAGATGAACTGAACTTTGTAAACATGATCATTTTCAATAACTAACACATGGCAGCTGCTCTTTGGTTTGGCACAGCGGTGCTCAGGTACTAGATATTCAAGTAAATTCACATCAGGTGAACCAAGTCTCTTGTCTTATTTTTAATGGCAATGGCAAGACCTGAAATGCACCTGCATTTTCCTTAAGTATCATCACAAGTGTTCAATATTTGAAGGATGGAAGTAATTAGAAGTTTTGGCAAGGCTTCTTTTGATCTTTTTTCTCTAAACTGTTGGTAGTGAAAACCTATACCAATACAAATACCAAAGAGGCAGCCTTTCCCCTGATCCTATTTGTAGGCCTGTCATGAATGGTCTGGGATATTACGAGTAAATTCTGTTAAATGTTTACCACGTGGCCAAATGTTGGCTGTAAATTAATTAAATCAAAGGCAACTAAAGTGTCTTTTAACTGACATTTCCAAAAAGGTACAATATTTAGTATACTATTAAAGGTGATGTTAAATAACAAAAGAATTAAAAAAGATCCTAATTCACAAAAGTGCCTGAGTTAGGTTAAAGGGAAAATGCTTCCTCAGTTGTTAGCTAAGTGCACGCAAATCCATTGATTGAAATGTACCCACAAAAAGGACCTGAACATTTCTAAAAGCTGTCAAGCACTTTTAAATATTATTAATTCCTGTAATATTCAAGCCACCAAACAAGTTAGGCTTTTGGCTGCTGATATCTTGACTCTCCTGCTAATTTTCTAAAATAAAGGTTAGTAAGATTAAAGAGTTGGAAAAAAAGTAAAAAAGCCTATAGCAGTACTTCAAAATTATGTTTTCAAAGCTAACCCATTCCTTTGGTCCAAAGAGAAAAAAAGTTATTTCTTAACATTTAGCATTAGTATGGTCAATGTGAACTACAGTCCTTCAAATTGTAAACTTGGCATATCAACTATAAAATCTATGCTAGATTAGAATATTATAGAGCTACTTCTAGTACACTGACATACATAAAGAAAGTACTCCAAAAATACTGGCAGATCAATAAAAAGCAAGGCTATTTTGCAAATAACAGGCATTACAGAATGTTAGAAGTCATCCTGCCCAATTCATTCAGGACCTCCTCCCTCCACCCTGCAATCTGTTTTATTGGAAAGGAAATGCTAACTTCTACAGATGCTGGTAAAGTTTCTCTTCACCCACCTACTGGGCCCATCTGGAGGAGCCTGTGTGATTAAACAGCACAGTGAAGAGTAACACTTCTGTATCATTTACCTTTCATAGTATTCTATACTATTCTCTAGATACAACAATCTCTTAGACCATGTTTTAAAGGAGAAGTATGTCCAGTGAGAAAAGGAAGTCTGACTTAAGATTTGGCATTTAAAATTAGAATCCGTTTCTGAGACTGAAAATTTTAAACCACTACTGAGGCTTATAATTGTTTCCTGAGAGTTGTATTATTCTAAAGTTTTTTCCTAGTTCAAATTGCATCTGAAGTCACTTTAAGCTGTTATCAGATTATTGTAAAAAGTTTCAAGATAATTCTTAGTCATTACCTAAATTAAAAATTGCAAGTCAACTACACAATGTTTTGTTTTAAATGCCTTCCAAACTGAAAATATTTCTTAGTTTACAATATGCTGCCTGTGTTTTCATTTTTCTTCTAGCCATTTCCATCTATTCCTGTGTCAAATCTTTTGTAGCTTGTGTAATTTTGTGCCCCCCAATACCTTCAGATCAACAAAAAAGTAATTAGAAAGTAAAGAGTACCCCAAATATTTCTTACACTGCCAATTCTCCTTCAACCCTTGGGTACAAAGTATACTACATGGTTGTATATGCTTAACCAAAAGCCCTCAGTGAATTATGCCAACATGTTCTATAGTCTGTATGATTATAGTTAGATAGCTAAATCCTTCTGAGTATGTTATTTTATAGCCAAGAATAAAAAGATTTTTTATTAAAAATGTTGAAAAGTATAAAAGTATAAATTAGCAAACACCTAATTGTAAAAAAGCAGTCATTTTCTTTCCCTTTTTATGGTTCAGACAATTATAATTTGGATATTATTCAATTCAGCCACCAGTTGTTCCTCATATACTTAAGACAAGCTCTTAGCAAATGTTTTGGGGTGAAAATTTACCTGGAAATGAAGAAATCACTCTAACATGGTAACTCAGGTATAAAATGCACACGCCATGTTAACATGGGATGAAAGCCCCTATTACAGCATCTCCTAACAGGCAAGCGCTATTTCCAAGGGAAAATTAAGCCACTTTTGAGCTGTGAGTCAACAATGCACAGACACTGAAAATTAAGGCATCATTCTGTTTTGTAGTGCTTTGTAGATTCAGGCGAACTGTACAAAGACTTCCATTTTTAAAAAATAGATCTTCTGTTATATTTGATTTCTCTCCATTGATCATTTTCTTGCAAATGAAATGGAAAATACCAGTCCACAGAGCTTTTATATACCTATGAAAATACAAGACACTGCATTATTAGCTAACACTTGGTTTTTTTTTTTTTTTTTTTTTTTTTTTTTTTTTTGTCTTTTTCCTTTTTATCGGTACCAGGGATCGAACCCAGGACTGCCTGCTTGTAAGGCAGGCGCTTATGCCGCTGAGCTAAATCCCCAGCCCCTAACACTTGGTTTTTTAATTTCTCAAAATATATGTGAATTGCTCTGCAGGCTAAGGCATAAAGTTGCTAACAGTGCAAGACATGAAATGACTGCTTTATTCCCACTAACACTGTTTAGTAAAGACTCTGGTGAGTGGCAGGTCACTGACTCCCTCTGAGCAGTCCACGAGGGTTTCACAGAAGGGCCCCCCATCTGCCTACGCTAGCCCAAGGTGCAACCACGAAACAGGGCCAGCTTCTGCCACACCTGTGGGGCGCTTATCACCACAAGCACCAGCCAGTATTCCGCAGGGATTAAGGCGCAGCCCCAGATGTAGCACTGAGCGCCTGCCAGGATGGAGTCTCCCCTACAGCTTTAGGTCGTGGGGCTCAAATCCACTTCCGAGATGTGGCCATTCTGCCTGCTGCAACCCCAGCTCTGTACTAGATCTTGGGCTTTTGCCCGCACCCTGTCCTCATGAAGACCTGGCCTGATGACAAGCTGGTGATGTGAGCAAGCAGGAAAGGGATGGCCGCTGGCTGAGGCCCCAGGTGGGAAACGTACAAGTGGCCATATACTGTCCCTCGTCCTAAGTCTGAGGTGATCTGCTGTGTGTTTTATAAAACTAGATAAATGCACTGATGGACTTCTTCAGTCTTCTCAGCTTGTAATGTTAACCACTGTTCTCTGGATCAAATTCAACACAAGGTGAAAATCCCCTTTTGTCTTAGGCTAATTAATAAGGCGCTATTACTGAAACGGTCAGTTGTCCCCAGGCCACCCCCTAAGCTCGTTCTTCATTTACCTACCACCACCATTACTGACACTGTGTTAGAAGCAGCTAAGAAGAATGAGGTTTTGGCAGGTGTTATGTTCCAGTCTCTACTGATTTATTTTGCAAATATAACTGAAAAGATTTTTAAAAGTTATTGAAATATGCAAAGAAACTATTTTTGCAAAGAAATTATCTTTATACTGTCTTACCTTGCTCCTATCGAATGGTTAGTTATGAACAAGTGGTACTCAATTTTCTACTGCCACTGTAACATGGTTATTTGTCCCTGTAAGTACATAATTAAATATGACAGGACGAAAAAGTGTTAGGTTACTGGCGAAGCAGTGAAAATGATTATATAAGAACAACTAGGTAAGCAGTAAAAAGGCTGACGGCACCAACCATTTGCCTTTTTGTAGGACACAGAAGTAAATAAGCAGTTTTAAGAGTAAAAAAAATCTAGTTTTGGGCAGATTCTTGCACACTGGTTTTAAAGATGTTAGGCAGCAGAAACTAATCTCACAAAATGAATTTTCCACCGATCTACTGAAGAGGTCTTATCACCCTAAAATACTAAAACCCAAAATGATCCTTCCGTCACTGACAGTAAATGTTTTTAGGATATTTTTCTAGAGTTAGTACAAATTGTTCAGTGTCTCCAAATAATTTTCTACATTGCAAGAAGACAACGTTATCACTCATAGGCCTCTCAGACATTTTTATCACTAGAAAGCACCTCAAATATGTTTTAGCTTACAATGTTGGCTAAGTGGTTAAAAGATACTGTAAACCCAGGTCTGGTAAGAAATCTCACTTCAATTTTATCATTTATTCTATATTGTATCCAAAATTTATGAGCTGACCAAGTCATTAAGAAACTTAAAACAAATTCAATACACATTTTTAAAAATCAAGGGAGCATGGGGCTGGGGATTTAGCTCCGCGGCATAAGCGCCTGCCTTGCAAGCAGGCAGTTGTGAGTTCGATCCCCGGTACCGATAAAAAGGAAAAAGACAAAAAAAAAAAAAAAATCAAGGTAGCAAATAGTACAAAGTTTTTTGAAAATTATTTTTGACTTAGCATAAACTGGGGCCCTAGAGAACAAAGCATCTGAGTGGAGAAATGTGCGGCCAGAAACAAAAACCCCAGCTGAACTGAAGGGAACACATCCGCCCCTGCGTCTGCCTCGCACTGCCTGCTTTTCCCTGGAGAAGTCACTGGCAGCCACCTGAGACTCCACACACAAGATGCTCACCCAACACATTTCCCAAGCTACTATTCCACAGGAGCACTTTCTTCTGGTTTTCCCACATGGATACTGCGTCTGAGCCAGGTGAGCGGGTTCTCAGGGAGAGCCATACCTGATCTGATGGCACCGTCTTCAGCTCCGTTTTCCAGCCACTGACAGTCAGTGTCCAACAAACGGTTTTTTGACTCACTAAGTGGTCTGGTAGGAAAAGGTGGATTTGAGGCAATACTGAACGGAGGAGAAAATAATTTAGTAAACAGATTAATGCTCAATTAAGGACACTTACAAATTAATAAGCAGCAAATTAGTATTTCTTTTCCTAAAGATGTGAGGGCAACTCATGAGACCTTAGCACTCGGCCAAAATTATATTCCAAAGAAAAACATGCCCACACCCCCCATTACACAGCTCTCTACACCCAAGAATCTATACTCCATCTCTGCCCATGAAAATGATTAGACACAGAAAAAACAGCTTCAGAGCAAATCTGATGGTTTAACATGTTAATCAGGAGCCGTAAGGTAGTACAGGGACAGGTAAGGAGCTATGTCTGTGGCCAGTACAAAAAAATTACCTGTCATTTCCCAAGTTTTCTGCTTTCTACCTCTGCAGTTTAGATCTAAGGGGAAAAAATGATTCAGTGATTTAGAGTAGACTTAGTTGTCTTGCTAAGAGAACTAGGCAGGGAGGGCATGGAGGAAAGAGAGGAGGAAAAGGGAGCTGAGATGGGCTGGCGCTGGCGGGCCAGGTGTGCCCAGCAGGCGGCACACACTGACTGACTTCTCATGGGCTGCTGGACAAGGCTCCAGGCACGCAGACCCCTGTAAATGCTAGGGTCCCAAGGCCCGAGGCCTTAGGTTGTGCGTTCAAAAGTCTGTTCTTCCTAAAGTCAATACACTAATTTGGAACACAGAGTTCTCACTCTCTACGATTCAGTTTCATAATAAATACATTTCAAATGTTTCACTTCAAAAGAATTACTTTCATTAAAATTCTATTTCACTGAATTTATGACAGTTTAACATGTAGACAGTATAAGAAAATTTCTATTAACAAAAAAATTTATATTTGAGTGGTCATTATTTTGATACTGTCTTAAAACCTATACAAGTAAAATGGTGATTTTATTGTACAATGATTACTTTCAAAGAATATAACTGATATAGGACAATCTGATCAAATCTTTAAAGAATATCTTACTTTATAGGAAGATGCCATGTAACACCTTACTTCCTAGTTTGTCAAAAGATTTTTAAGTTCTTTGTAACCGTCTTACTTTAACTACTGATACATGCTTCATACACAAGGACCTTTTCCTATTTTCAAAAGTGTCCTGGTTTGAATAATAAAAATAGGGGCTGGGGATTTAGCTCAGCGGCATAAGTGCCTGCCTTGCAAGCAGGCAGTCGTGAGTTTGATCCCCGGTACTGATAAAAAGGAAAAAGACAACAAAAAAAAAGGAAAAAATATATATATACAGTGATCCTAAGCATTTTACGTACACACATACATTAACCCACAGCTTAAAAAATTTAAATAGAACTCCTCTTACTCTATTTATGATGGCTTACTATTGTATGTGTTCATAAGGTATGTGCATGCATGGTCTTACAATAAACACTGAAAAACACAAGGGCAAGAAACCTACCTTCTAGCATAGTCATTTTGGTTTGTCCCAGAAGCTTGTTCTGGATCCATCCCCACCAGGCGAGTAGGGAAACTGCAACCGTCACCCAAGCTACACAACGAGAAACAGCAACCGTGTCACTCAAGGTCAAATTTAACCAGCACTTTTCAGACAACTCTGACTTGTCATTTCAGAAATGAGTCCTAAGGTTTCTAATTCAGAGGTTACTGCCTCAGCTCAACACAGAGGCCCTTTTCCCTCCTAAGTTACACATACTCAGAAACAATGTCAGCTGGGCACTGAGTACACCTCAAATCCCAGCTACTGGAAAGGTGAGGCAGGATGACTGACTGTGCCCAGGAGTTTGAAATCAGCCTAGACTCCAAAACATAAGACTCCAGCTAAAAAAATGCAAACTAAGTTAAAAATTAGAGACAGTATCTACTAAGTCACCATGCCTAGTCAGCATGTCAAGCAGGTAAGCAAGCATTCAGGTCAGTGGCCTTGTTATCACAGCCATTTAAGGGATCATCCAGGCAGTGGGAGGCTCAGGTAGAGTGGGAGGCTCAGTCCAACCCCAGCCTGGGCAACTTAGGAATTTAAGAAGACCCTACTTCAAAACAAAGAACAAAAAGGGATGGTGATGTAGCTCATTATGAGGGCCCTGGGTTCAACCCCAGGACAGGAAAATAAAACAAAGCAACAAAAAACAAAAACACCCTGAAGCTATAATGGGAAAAATTGATTTAAATCTAATGAGAGCTATAAAGTCACAGATACATGAAGCATAATGAATAGCCAGGCAGGATAAACACTAAGGAGAACCACCACACTACTTAAAACTAGTGGGAAAGAAAAACGTGTAAAGGCGGGGACAATAACAGGAGTCCATATAACAATTTATAAACAGTGGATTAGGACAAGAGCGAGACTGCAGTGCACGGAAACCATGAAAAGTGGAAGATATTAGAATAACATCTTTTTATAACACGAAGTTGTAGGGAACCAAAAACCATGAATTCAGTAACCAAAGAATGTAACTTTCTCAACAAATATCCATGTTCTAGTCAGAGGGAAAATAAAAATCTCAAAAGCATCAGACAACAGAGAAAAGTGCAACACAGAATGGTGACCCTGAATTCACAGTAGCACCTCTGTAAAACGAAAAGACAGCACCTACACACACACAGCAGGGGCTGCGGATGACCCTGTCCGTAACTGTAGCCCCTGTGGCAGGGCAGGAAGGGAGACAATGGAACAGTAATGGTAACCATTTTTCCAGACTTGAAAACTATAAAACCAGGGCAAGAAACTCAACTGATCCCAACAGGGAATATGAAGAAAATAAACCATGTTGTGCCTTAAGAAAATTTTTGTAGTGATTGAACAGAAGGACTTCACAGTAGCCTGAGAAAAGACATCCTACGTAATGTGAGAAAATAACAATGGCCACAAATAATCACCAAAAGCCAAGGCCACATTAGTCACTTTTGAACTCAAAATAGGCAATTTGGTTAAGGGAAAAACCCTGTAACAAATACACCACTTCAATTATAAATATTTTCCTTTATAACGGATTAAGAATGTTCCAAAATTGGTGGGAATTAGAGAAGTGAAAACTACAAACCATCATTAGTACATATTCTTTAACAATTAAGGTAAAGTTGCAGTGTGTTTTAAGAACGAATGCATTATTCACTTCTGTGATAGAAACTTTGAAATTTTTAGCTATAATAGATATATATGCTTATGATTATTTCCAACATTTTTAAAATAAGTGATTATTTCTTATGCATCATCTTTTTATATTCTTTCTCTCCATTCAACTGTATGCTCAAACTCTACTGTACCTAGTTTAAAATGAAAGAGAAAGGCCGGGGATTTAGATCAGCAGTGTAAGTGTCTGCCTGCTATGCATGAGCTCGTGAGTTCAATCCTCAGTACAAAATAAGTAAATAAATGAATGAATGAATGAAATGAAAGAATAAAACATTTTATATCTGATTAAGGTATTCTGAGCATTCACTCTAACGGCCCATAAAATGTCACTATTATATTCTCTGAATCTTATTATATATAATCAGACACAGACTACCATAGATTCCATAATTTCTGAGTCTTGCATTTTATAAATTACCTTGAAAACACTGGAAGTAGCCAATATTTCTTTTCTTCACCAAATACTTGTCTCCAATTTTTGGTGTACCCAAGAGAGAAACCATTCCCATCAGGTCCATACGAAAACGTAGGTGCACGGAATGATTCTATTTAAAAAAAAAGCTAATTAATCTATTTAAAAATTATAAAGGGAATGGAAAATATCAATTTCCTTATGCCTCACGTTAAATCATAAATATAAATAGCATATCTGTAGCAATTAAAAAATAACTAGAAATGATAAACAGGTTTTTTTTTTTAATCTTTTTCCCAGTATCGGGGATCAAACTCACGACCGCCTGCTTGCAAGGCAGGTGCTTATGCCGCTGAGCTAAATTCTCAGCCCCGATAAACAGGTTTTTGATAAGCCAATTACCCTGAGCTGATTACACACATTATAAACATACTACACTGTATCCCATTAATATGTACAATTACTATGTGTTAATTAAAAGTATATTTTTAAAAAGATAAACTTTGAAAACATTTAGAAAAAAACTACGTCTTTAATTTCATCGACTTTATAAAATGTTAAAATTTTATCTAGTTTTATTGGAAATTCTAATGGATTATGTTCAACATCTTTTGTTTTAAAAGAGACACTCTAACTCCTCCAATTTTATTCTTATTTATGAACTTCCTAGCACATTCCTCATAGCAACAGAATCAGGTATCTGGGACCCAAAGATACAAGTAGATGAAATTCCTGCCAAAGAACCTCCAAAGGAGCAAAGCTGTGCGGTGTGGGAACCCGCACGCAGCACACGCGAGCCAGCACGTAGGTGAGAAAGCCCAATTCCATCTGGGCTGGGAACCACAGTGGCAGGGAAGGTGGAAGAAAGAGGCAGTGCACTCAATCTTCAACCAGGAAGAGGAGAAAGCAAGGGTGGTTACACCCCACCCTTTCAGGTCTGCCTGCCAACTAGAGAGCTAAATAAGAGACACAGATGCCAGTTTTTGTCTTTTATTTAAAGACAATGTACTTCTGCATGTTTTATAAAGGTAAGAAGCAGCTAGCCAGTTTCTTGGGAGAAACTGATCCAGGAAGTAGAATAAAAACTGAAGGGCAGGGTGTGGTGGTACACGCCTATGCAGCAAGTATAGATAAAGGGTGAATTTGCTTGTGACTTTGAAGTTTTCTGTGAAGAATTCACAAGGAAAGCAGACCAGGGAGACGAGTGACCATGTGGAATTACACTGTGGGCCAACCGGTAAGGAACCGGACCTGAAATGCATGACACTGTAGTCAAGAATCAAGGGCCACAGTGAGGCCTGAGACCCTTCCTCTGTAGATGCAACAACCAGTAGAAGAGTAAGATTCCCTTCAGCTAGCTGTCAACTGTCCTGTGGTACAGGTGGATGCAATGGATGGCTGGAAAACCCAGGCCATGGGGCAAAAGATGGATGGTGCAGTTGCTGAAGGCATTTTATCATAGAATCTTGAATGGACAAAGCTGAGAAATAAACCAGAAAGAAAACTTGGGAGAAAAGTGTTAGAACAGTCAGGGCCAAATAATCCACAAAACAAAGGATAGTGTGTTGCAGGAAAGGAACCATGGAAAGGCTGAAAGATTATAGTAAAAAGAAAGGAATATTTCAGTTGAAAATTTCATTTTTAGAAGCTCTTGAGCTCCAAGCGTTAAAAGCTCGAAGTGTGGTTATAGGAACAAGAAGCCACCCAAATCAAAGAAACCAGCTTATCTATTTGAGGCAATGGCACTAGCTGAAAGACATGAACGCATTAAATGTGGGGAAATGATCTAATTGTGATGACAGTTACGAAGGGCAGAGACATGTTACCTAGAATAAAATCTTGATGTAGTAAAAGAGAATCAGTCAGCGGTGTGAGAAGATGAGCTGTAGGAGAGACGATGTGCTAAGGCAACGTGTTTCCAAGTGGCAGGCCATGCAATCAAGGAAGAAGCTATAAGCCAAAGCGCAAAATATCAGAGCGGAGTGCACACAGTTGAGATTAATAATGCTCCGGAAATTCTTAACTTACGTAATTCTGTAGGTCTGTGCACATATGATGTCATGATTAAAATATGTTTCTTGCTGTGGTCACTAGTGAAAAAAAAGAGTACTCACAGGGAAGTGGTTTCCCTGGAAACATGCATCTCACAAAGACTGCAGCGTAAGCAGGAAATGAGGGAAGCAGCCAGGCCAGTGGGGAGGCAGCAGGTGAACGCTTTTCTGCACTGTCCGTGGCAGTGGCTACACTCAGCTCCAACTGGTTGACAGCAGGTGGGAAACAGGCCCACTACTATCAGATTTCTCTCTGGAAAGCAAGAATTCTGTTTTGCTTTTGTTTTTCATGTGAAATCTTTTAGTTTTTAGCTATTGCTGAAGGTTTTAAGGGGTGGCCTTTGTCAGTACGCCAACTTTGTATTTCTGATTAGGAATAAGAGTTCTGTGGTAAGAGTTCTGTGAATAATGGTAAGAGTTCTGTGAAGACGACAATCAGACTCGTTAACAACTGTAAGAAACTGTACTCACATGGGAAGCGGGTAAAGGAGTGGTGGAGGTGGAGGACAGCTCCATGGCTGAAGGTAAGCTGAAGTAGGAAGGGTGTAGAAATCCTCACCCTGGAGCCACCAGAACTTACATGACCCAGAAATACATGAGGTCAGAATGACCCAAATGTAACTACTCTCTAATATTGCCCTAAATCCTCTCTTCACTAGTCTAGATTAAAACCTATTTTCAAATTGGGGATGGGACGCCTGCTGCAAACCTCGCACTCAGGAGGCAGAGGCAAGAGGGTCACTGTGAGTCTGGGCTGGCCTACAGCGCCACGTTGAGCTCAGGGTCTTCCCAGTTCTGGCAGACGTGAGTCATTTTCCCTATGATGAACCTTTATGTCTGCTGTATACTATTTGTGTGGATTCAGAGTTTTAACACAGAACCATTCTATACTACTCTATCATCTGACTACTGCCCCTGTCTAGATTTCATACACATCTGTGGTCATTTATTTTGGCCCATTTACCTATAGTTGTTCTATTTTTTCCAACTAGCCAGCAGTGGTAGCTGAATAGCGAGAGGACACTGATGAAGAACATTGCAGACACAAAGAAAAGGAAAAGTACGTGGAATTTTGCACGTGTATCTGTCAGTTCATTCTGAGGAAAGGAAAAAAAGAATTAATTTTGAGGATATTAAACCTTTAAAATATAACATAATTTAGTTCTGCTCACAGACTGCTGAATCCAACAAAAATTTAAATTGCTCTTAAATGTTTAAAAATGTAGCAATTATCTCTTGGTAGTCAAATGAAAAGATGGACTCTTCTGTCTAACACTTTTCTTTCATAGTCAAGCTTTCCTCAATATCCAGAATCTATGCTAAACATTTCCTCATGTTAGCCACACATGCTATCACCCACAGCTAACTGTTTCACGCTGAGTTTCATACTGTGCCTCTCGAGTCTCTGTTCCCGGACACCACTGCAAGGGAACCTGTTCCTTGGCTGCTCGGATGGAGCCCCTCACCCTGTGAGAGCCCAGGAGGCAGCCGGCAATTCTCATAGGCACACCCGCCAGAAGATGCCAGATGGAAACAGTTCCAAGAATCAACCCTTCTATTTAAATTATAAGAACATTTGACAGACAAAAAGGAAGGTTATTAAGAATTAGATCATTCTTTTTGTTTCTGGTTCTGTGAATTCAACCAGGCCCTTGTACGCTCTACCACTGAGCTACATCCTAGTGATACAGGAAATTATTTGGTATTTCTCTTTTCTCTTATTTAATCACTTAAGTGATTCTTTTATGTTACTACCCTATGAAGAAAATTTTTATTACAGAATTTGCTACAAAATGGCATAAAAGAGATAATGAGAATGTCATGGGAATGATATGCTTTTACCTTTGGACAATTCTCTGTAGATTTCCTGCGGCAAAGCTTGTGCAAATAGAGACAATGCAGTAAGAAACCAATTTTTATACAAAATTATCCTGAACACCTGAGTGCTGTTCTAAACTCTGTATTTGTGTTTTGTTTTTGATTTTTTTTGTTCTGTCTTGTTATGCAGTTTAGACTGGCCTTAAGCTCACTTTGCAGCCCAGGCTGGCCTTGAACTTGCAATGACCCTCCTGCCTCAGCATTAAGTGCTGGGATTACAGGCATGTGCCACCACGCCCGGCTCTAAACCCTGTGTTATGAAGAAATACTAAGATGTCACTTTCCATGGTTATGTATAGTATTTTCTCAAAAATCCCAACAGAAAACCAGACAAAAACATTAACCCTTCAACACACACTTTTCCACTCAGTTTTTAAGACTCATGTCTAGAAAGAGTAGAATGTTGTAGCAAGTACCTAGTTCTCTAAACATTTGATTAGTAGTTTCTAAAACCTAGATCTGAAGTCAGGTGTGGCAGCACACACCTGCAATCCTGCCAGCACTTGGGAGGCTGAGGCAGAAGGATCACTGCCAATTCAAGGCCAGTCTGAATCGCACAGCAAAACCATTTCAAAACACACACACACACACACACACACACACACACACACACACACACGTGAGCCTCTAACAGGTGCTGGCTGTGGGGCTCCTCTTCTTGTCCTCCGGCCGGCAGCACAGCCATCAGAGCACGTGTCTCCTGCTACCCTCAGATCACTGGAGCGCAGCCCCCTTCCCACTTTCCCTAGCACCACTTGTGTTCTCCCCTTAGTCTCCTCCAGCACGAAGGCCTCCCTGCTGTGCCCACAACATGCCAAGGATCCCAACACATTCCTTCCATCTGCAGTGCTCTGTCCCCGACACCCACTGGCCCTCCACGCTGCTGCAGCCCCCGCCCTGTCCACGGTCTGATATGCACCCTGGCCCATACCTGCCCCCACCTGTCCAAGCCTCTGCCTGGGCTGTTTCTATCATGTGTCTCTCGCCTCACAAGCATGCTCCGCAGGACAGGGCAACTACATGTCTGCTGATGTAGGCTATAAGTCCTCACAACACAACACAGCACAGTTGGGCAGAAGAAGCGCTAAATTAGTATGTGCTGAACAAATGCAGAAGGTGGGTTAAAGTTCACTCGTCTTTTACTTATGATGAATCTTAACACTTACCCTTAAATAGTAAGAAAGTGTTGTATGCAAACACTGCTGATTTTCTGATGAAGAAATGTAAGATGGACAACAGAGGCCAAAATTCCTAGGGCTGAGACTGCCAGAGGGAGGGGTGGTGGTGTCCTCTTCTATGTACGAATACCGGCAGTGCTAGCGCTGGCACCCACCCACCCCAGAGCTCTGCTTCATTAGTTCCTGTAGTTTTTTCACTTGCTTTTCTATGGTGCTGGAAAGGTGCTGAGTTGGAACCCAGGGCCTTACACAAGATGGGCAAGCAATCTTCCACTGAACGACACCCTAGAACCACCACCTGACTGTGAATACCCAAACACCGACAGATGTTTTAATGAAAAGCCTTAACTGGATTAGGTATTTCCTGGAAATAGCATTGTGTTTCGTAACTTGGGGCTTTAACTACGCTGGCTCTGAGCAGCAGTAGTGGGAAGTGCTGAGACACTGGGATGAACAGATCTAAGTAGAATATAAAATATGTCACCTACAATACTAAACGTGTTTGTAAGTAATCAAATTTTTCACTTTTTGTTTCCAATTCTGAAAATTGGAATAATAATAACAGCCCCTCCAGGGTGACCATATTTCTGTATTTCTGTATTCCTGACACCTTAGTGGCTGAGAGAGGCTGCCCTTCCCAGGCCTGCCAGCCTCAGTCAGGACCCACACAGCTGTGCTCGGCCACTTCTCAGCCTGGCTCTCTCAGGCTGGTGGGTGGCACTGCTCTGCTCCCATCACCCTAGGGCCAGGCACCTACCACAGACAGCCCACACGCAGAGCCACTGGGATCACCTCAGCTTCCCAGTCCTCCATCTCTCACCTCCCTCCTCACAAAAATCACAGCGCTGGCTCAGACCACCCCCACCCAATGGATCTGCCAGCCCTGGGCCATCGCAGTGGGCCCCTAGCCTTGGCAACCACGCTACCGTCTAGGCGAGGGTCTGTCTCCAGACTGAAGGGCCTCACCATAGTTGAGTAATAATAAAACCTCCATTTTAAAACACCTATCTTGTGTTTTACGAAGAGTGAATGGGAAAGTACTTTTAAACCAGTATTACTTCTACACAATCAGACTTAAACAGCAAAAATGAAAACATAAAAATGCCAGACAACAACTGGCCCAAAGAATATTTTGTACACTTATAATGATAAGAGCAAGCAATTAGAAATAAAAAGTCACTTAAAAACGCAAAACGTAAGTCAGGCGTGGTGGCGCACGCCTGTAATCTCAGGACTCAGGAATCTGAGGCAGGAGGATCATGGCAAGTTCAAGGCCAACTTGGGCTATATAATGAATTCAAAACTAGCCTGAACTACACAGTGAGCCTTGTCTCAAAAAATAAATTTTATCAAAATGGCACATGCACAATAAAGACAAATAACTCTAAAAAGCTACTAAAAAAACCCAGTTGTTTTCTGCACTTTCAGGAGGCATTTCTTTCCTCATCTTTGGTAGATTTTTCCTCTGAAATAATGTACTTCCAAACTAAAAAATATTTAAGCTGTATTATTCATTTTGAATAGATTACACAACATACAAATTCAAAAGGTAACTATAAAGAGCATTTGTCCTTTCCTAGCTATCTGTCTAAGAGTCAACCAGTAGCAGCAATCCTTTTTTTTGGTACCGGAGACTGAACTTACAACCTCGCACTTGCCAAGCAGGTGCTTATGCTGCTGAACTAAATCCCCAGCCCTGAGATGTCATTTTTATTGTTAAAGTACAAACTAACTCATCAAGTCAAGAAAAGCAATTACTTTTTTTTTTTGTTTTGTACTGAGGATCGAACTCATGACCTTATGCTTGCCAGCCTGGCACTTTATGCCGCTGAGCTAAATCCCTGGACCAAGAAAAGCAATTACTTCTTAAGGCAGTATGACTTTTTTACGGAGTGGCTGAGAATAACTCAGACCACTAAGAAAAGCTCACAGTATCTTGTGTAATGTACATTTAATTTACAAATACACATGTATATGAAGATAAAGATAAATTATAGTTCTATCTCCCTCAGCATCATTAAAAAGTCTAACTAGTAAAATCAAAGTATCAGAATGAAATAATTCTTTAGCAGTACAGAAGCTTTAAAGTCTTATAAACATGTTTTTAAGAGAAGACTTACCGTCCAAAATTTTATAAAGTACTCTAAAACTGTTGTTGCAACAAAAAGGCAATATAACAGAGAATACAGTAAAAACAGCATGAAGAATTTGTAATTAGAAAATCCCACACAGTTATTCACCCTAGAAAAATAAAGAAAGTCATATTATAAAAATAAGAGAATTCACAAATTTATAGAAATAGAAAGTCAAGTGGGGGCTGTCAAGGGCTAGGAGATAGGAAGTTGTTAAATGAAGCATTTTGGTTTCATTAAATTGAAAAGTTCTGATGATTGGTCACTATGGAGCCTACGCCAGTCTCAAACTCAGTGACCCTCCTACCTCAGTGCCCCCAGTGCTGGACTTACAGGCATGTGCCACCACATTCACAAGCACAATTTTAAAAATGATCTATCGGCCAGCTGCACTGGCACATGCTGCAATCCCAGCAACTCTAAAGCTGAAGGAGAAGATCACAAATTCAATGCCAGCCTGGACAACTCAGTGAGACCTTGTTCCAAGGTAAAAAGGGATGGGGTTGCAGCTCGGCACAGAGCAGTGCACAGCACGCATGTGGCCCCGTACAGCTAACTGACTAAACCCACCAGCAAGCCACAAAGCTTGATCACTATTACTTGGAAATGGGTCCTTCGAGAAATACACAGTACTGTGATTCTTAATAATCATTACTGTAATCATTTTTCAGGTTAACACCAACACCATCAAAGATATTTTTAAAGGAAAACATTTAATATAAATGTGTTCATACATATACATGTACATACACTGTACAAGCAGATTAACGTTACTATGATTAAACTGTTAAAATCTAAAGCCATTGGAGTAAGTAATTCTCAATCCTTTCCTTTCCACCTCTCCACCCATGTATATAATTTCCTCTATTTTTAAAAATACATACCAAGGACAGTGATGATCCATCTTAAGAACGCATCTAAGAAAAAATAAGCATAAGAAAATCTGTACAGAAAATTCTTCTGATTCCTTGTAATTTTATTTCACTTAAAATTTTCCCTTTACAAAACTATCTTAACAGAACCAATCTAGAAACATTAGTTTAGAGATAATTTCTAATAATTACAAAAATACTTTCACACATTTGAAGGTGTATCTTTTATATAGGGAATTCAGCTGAGCATATCCAGGTGCACCACACAAGATCAAATAACATTTTATATTCATAGGTAGATAGGTCCAGCTTCCATAAGGTAGCTGAAGGAGATAAAATGCAACACAGAACTCTAAAACTTTAAATATGTACACAACAGGAAAATAAAACTTTAGATGCAAATATGTCAGCATTAACACTGACTGGCTTGAAGATGGTTACCTTTGCTAAACAGTTTATCCAGTTTTACTTATGGCTAATTCTACTATTTTTTCATAGTAATAAAAATAACCCAAAATCAAAAATATGCCTCCCCAGCAGCATATGTATGCATCTTCTATTTATATAATATTAGGTCATAGATGATATCACATAATATAACAAATGAGTGACCTAACATCCAGTAAGTTAAGTACTTTGTCTAACTAAAATCCAGAATTAGCTGAGATACCCAAACTCACAATCTACTTTTTAACATACTTCGCTCTCACATTGCATAAGGACTGAATTCTTTCAAATTTTTCTGGGGAAAATGTGAAGATGATAGTTGAAAACAGTTGTAAAAAAAATTTTAAGTTTTAATATAATATCAATAATAATATTAAAAATAAAAAACCCCAAATCATTACCTTTCTCGGGATTATCATTAACTTACTCATGAATACTACATTGAACACAAGTACAGAAAGCATATTTAGGACTAAGGACATTCTATTAGTTAGTGGAGAAAGTATTACTGAAGAATTGTTACCACTGGGTGTATTCTAGCTTCCTCAAGTATTTTGTTAGCTCCACATACTTACCTAGCACTGTAAGGACAGAGGATGAAGCATATGTGCTAAGTTTAAGGCAGGTAAAACATTCCTTCTTCTTCCTTTCTCCCGTCAGCAATTTTCAGTGCTTGGTATGAATGAAAGGAAACTACTACTTACGTGTCACATGCTGAGCAGTGATGGGTCCGATCAGGTTTAATCAACTGACACTTTTCACAGTATCTGATAGCTACAGGAGACAAAGCAAAGGAAAGAAGCCAAAAGGTGTATAAGCCCAATTAATTTGGAATAAAACTTGATTTTAAAAATCAATTACTCTGGGAAATTGACAACTAGTAATTTTTAAATAATACCAAAATATACCAAAGAGCTTCTCAAATAAAAGTATTATGAGATAGGAGAGAACTTTAGTATTAATTTTCCCAGATGTTTTCAAATTAAAGAACATCCAAACCTAATAGATGACTTGTACAACGTCAAACAACCACATGAGCAGCACAAGTACGTTACAGCTCAGATTTACTAGGTCCCAAAGTGAGTATTTTTCCAGCTATATGTACAACAATGCCCATGGTTAAACATAATAAAGTGTCCAATAAAGCATTCTAAGGAGCTTTGTTTTTGAAATTTTGAAGGTGCATTATTAAATACATACACAACTGCCATCACTGCACCAAACAGCAAAACTAAAAATAGTTTTTAAAATTCTGTTTCCCACTAAATATATGCACTATTACCCAATTCCTATATTCATTTATTCAAAAGACACAAAGAACTGCCGGGGATATAGCTCAGTGGAGTAAGTACCTGCCTGGCAAGCACAAGGTCCTGAGTTCAATTCCTGATTCCCACCCTCCCAAAAGATAAAGAGAACCAACTAGGTGCCAGATACCACTTGAGGCAAAAATTCTTGCCTTCACAGGGTTTATATCCTACTGAGGGAGATGGACAATAAACAGGTTTATTAAATAAACAGTACATGAGTGATGGGGGAAAGGGAACATAGGCACTGTTGTTTGAGAAACATCTAAGAGAAATGAAAGAATCAAGTTAGTAAAGACATGCAGCTATCCAGAAGAAAGATGACTCTAACTACAGAGTATAGACCCTGAGGCAGAAGCATGTTTGACTTGTATGAAGACAACGAAGAACAGAGGTCTTCATTATGGTTTGCTTTTAATAAAACCCCACAGCCGAGGACTTAGCTCAGTGGTACAGTGCCTGCCTTGCAAGCATGAGGTCCTGAGTTTGATTCCCAGTACAAAAAAAAAAAAAAAAAAACTTTAGGGATAATTTGACTTATGGAATGAAAGCATTTCATGTACATCCGTACATACCCATACAGTGAACGACTATGCAGACACTAATAAAAATTTTCCATGTAGAACACATAGATGTGTCCCCTTAAGGAGAAAACAGCAGGCTCAAAGTGGAGTCACTCATGCTAAGGGCCCTGTACCAAACAAAGACCTACCTGGTGGCCCTGCAGAAGCTGAACTCCTGAGAGAGGAGAAAGGAGGACAGCCAAACCCCATTAAGCTAACAGGATTTCACTAGCAGCCCTACAGACAAGCAACTTAGAGATGACCAATCTGGGTGCGTTTCTTGTTTTCTCCTACTTCAGCTTTTTTTATTTGCATATAAAGCCTAGCCCTGCACTCACCTAAATTCTTCCCTGCTTTATAAACCAGATGCCACCCAGTTCATGAATCATCAATAAAAGCTATTTTGATCTTGAAAACCAAATTTGCTGAAATTTTGGTTTTGACAGACCTAACAGAAAAAAATCAAATATATTAAGTGGAAAAAAGCAAATCACAGTAGTTTGAATATACATTTGTTTCAATCTGCAAAGGAAAAAAATTGTTTTCTTCTTATATATATGACTACCATATCCCTGTAAATGCATATACCTTGCAGAAGTGAATTAACATATATGAGACAAAATGTATTTTATAGCAATGTGAGAAGACATAGCTGACAAAAAGCTCTCTTCAAACAATCAAACCTGCACTGTTAATATTCACCCACTCTACTTGTTAACTGTGTACTCATGAGGTCTGTAGTCCTCTAATACATTTAAGGCATTTGTGTTCAACTTTGGATGTTACTTATTGACACACAGGTGGGCTCCATAGCAGCAGGCCTAGAGGTGGGGGGTGGAGCGTCTGCCTGGACTGCAGTGCAGAGAACTGGTGCTCAGGTCACGCAGAGTTCGGGTATCCGGAGAGAGATCAGGCAGGGCCAGGCCAGAGTCTGGCATGCCACTCACTGTCCCATGTCCTCAGCCCTCATGCTGGTCACCACGGCAGTACGTTCCACAGGAACTGGAATTACTGCCTTCCTGAAACAAGCTCTGATGGCCTCCTCCTTGTCCCTTGCTGGGGTGGGGACACACCCCAGGCTGCCAGCTCTGGGCCACTGCACCTGAGTAGAACAGGAGTTGATCACAGAGACACAACCTTCCCGAGTGTTGCAGCCCACCAATGTCACACTGCAGCCTGGAGTGACAGCTACAAGCGTTGCTAGCCTCATGGACAGGATGGAGGAAGGAGACAGGAAGGGGCCCGAGAGGGGCTCCAGGCCTTCACAGAGTAGACACAATTGCCTGGTGCCACCCTGTCAGCACAATGACACCTCATGTCCTGAAGACACCTCGAGTCTCGTCAACAGTCACAGCCCAGGCCATGCACAGTTCACCTCCTCAGCCCTCGTCCACTGCCCAGCGTCCTCGCACACCACAGGGAAGATGCTGCCATAGGTGGGACCGGCCTGCCTTCCTGTGGTCACAGGTCACAGGTCACAGGTCACAGGTCACAGAGATGATGCAAGCCCACGGACAGTACTGCGCCACCTGGTGGGCAGGCCCACTGAATTCGGCAAGCACAATGACGACCCCACAGCAGCCCTGGAAGAAGGCCTCCACTGGCACCCACAGCGGTAGTTTCCGAGTCACTGGGAGTGGGAGCCACGCAGTGCAGCTCCTCAAGTAACTGTAAGTAGTAGATGGCAGCCTCTGCCCCTCAGGCAATCAGGTATGATCACCACTGGCTGTCTCTTGGGACACCACGATACAGCCCACCCCATCCTCACCCCTGTGGGCTGGAGCTTCTTGATCAAGCTCTCCAGCCTCTACGTGGTCCAGATGAGGGCATTCCCAGCACAGCGTTTTATAATGTAGGTGGCGCGGGGCACACTGAGGTCCCAATCACCAGCCCCATCTTGGGGTAAAGCAGTTACTTACATAGGGTTTTAGGAGGATGTACAGTGGGCAGGTATATTTTACAGCAGGCTACACACTGTCTTGTCATGTCACCAGGCAGATTTATCCAACATAAGCTAATTGGATTACTATCACATAACAGGAGGTCAGAACTGTGGTGAGCAGGAAGAATCAATCATTGTCTAAGCTGTCCTGAGGTGACAAGTCTTGAAAACTTGAAAGCAAGCAAAATATAACACGATGTACTGTCTGGCTGAGTCACACTGATCTTACATACTATGGCTGGCACAGGGATGTCAAGGCAAGGTAAGTTTTATAATTTTCTGACTGGGAATAGGCTATGCTTCCCAGTCCCAATCTTGTATAGTGTGAGAAATACAGGGTTTAAAATCTTCCTTTTACATTAAAACTGTCCTTACATTAGCCTCTAGGGAGTCTTTCCAGGGATGCGGATAGAGTCTTCACCTGGTACCCTTAAATTTTTTCCCCAACTCATGAGCACTACTATTTAACAGGATGAAGGGATTTTACAGAAAAGTAAGTTACATTTTATTCAGGATCTTCTATACTATTTTGCTTCAACTTGGCATTTGGAAGACAAAACCATATAGTACAGGACTATAAAGAAATAGCCTTAGAAATTTCTAGTGCATTCTTTTCTAAGAAAATAAAAAAATAAAAAACACCAAAATCTGGAGAGCAAAAGTACAGTAAGCTACCCAAGGTTATATGCCAAATGAACAAGGCACTCTAGACAGAAGGCAAGCACCTTCCTTTCCCTTTCCTCTACATCCTGCACTGGACAGCCTGACAATGTCATGGTTTATGATGGTGGCCCCAGGCCTCACGCGCTTGCATTGTGCATTTGTGATTGGTTCACTGTCTAGCACTTGGATTAGGGGCGTCAGTGCTACACCCCATCTAGGGGTGGAGCCAACATACAATGTAATGGCAGGAAGAAGGTGTGTCTAGCTCTCTTGGTGGTTCCGCCTTGCTGCTTGCAGCTGCCATGAACTGTGGCCCGGCCATGCCACCCTGCCTTGGAGCCAACTGAATATGGACTGAAACCTCCAAAAACTGTACGAAATAAACCTATCCTTTCCCAGCTTTGGGCATCAGGTATTTTGATGGAAGGAATGAAATACTGCAGCCCTGGAATGGGACGAAACCACACAGACCTCGGAAGACAGAGCCTGAACTAACATAAATGAAGTTATCAAAGGAAAAGGAAACGGAAACTTGGGTTTCTTGTCCAGATGGTGCCAAGCACAAAAACATAACCAAGTTTTGTCCCCATGAAGGTAGAGTGCTTTTTTATTCATTCAACCAATACTTAGAGATTTTACACGGGACAAACACTGCTGGATACTGAGAATAAAAGTGAACAAAATCACCTTGCCATCTGTCCCCAGGGGCCTAGCTTGCAGATGAATGAGTCTGCTTTTGTATGAGTTTGAAGTCTTCATAATAGGTCCTGAAAGAACGGTTACACTTTGGAAGCAGGAACTGTAAGAATGAAACTCTAGTTAGAACCACAGATACTGAGTTGAAAGAGTCGTGCCAAGATGAAGGAGAAATTCTTAGGTAACAGTTACTGGATGCCCTGCGGCAGAAGCTTGTAATTTACTCTTCTGCCAATACAGGAAGAATGCTGTACCAGGTATAAGCTGATCTCAGGCCATCTGTGGACATGTAATCCTTGCACACAGCAAGATTTGTAAGACAAGGCTGGGGAGGGGAGAAGAAAATGTTCAGAAATAAATCTTATGTGTAAGAGCAGGAAGCCAGTGTGCGAAGGCACACTACAGCGCCTGGGAGGCTGAGGCGGCAGGATTACAATTCGAGGATTATGGGGCAACTTAGCAACACCATTTTTTAAAAATTTAAAAGGGTTGGGGATGCAGTTTAGTGGCAAGGCCTTGAGGTTGAATTCTCATTACTACATGCATGCACCACCCACACACACCCAGGAAGAGATTATGTCAAGAACAGATTAATTCAAATACCTACTGTCTATTTAGTGAGACACCGATCAAATTCCTGAGCATGAGAGGCCTGAAATCAAGTCAAAAAGGTCACAGGAACACAAATAACAACAGGCAGTGATTTCTGATCTGCAAAGTAAGGATGTCAGAAGTTCAGAATTAACTTTTAAAAGAATTGCTCTTATTAAAGTAAATGGAAATGGGTTGAAAAGAGAAAGATGTTTAATTAAAACTTGAAATTGAGGGGCTGGGGATTTAGCTCAGCAGCATAAGCACCTGCCTTGCAAGCAGACGGTTGTGAGTTTGATCCCCAGTACCGATAAAAAAAAAAAACAAAAAAACTTGAAACTGGTGGCATAAGCGCCTGCCTTGCAAGCGTGCAGTCGAGAGTTCGATCCCCAGTACAAAAAAAAAAAAAAACTTGAAACTGGATTTATAGGAAAAAAAAAAAACGCATGACTCCAGACAAAGACACAAAACAGTGAAAAAGGACAGGGTGATTTAGTGTAAGATTCACATGTGCAAATAGTTTGAGGCAAACACCTGAGACAGGTTGGTTTTAGCCACACTTTGGAGGGGAAAAGATTTAGAAGAATTCATTTTGTTTTCTGAGTGGTGTTCAAATGGTTCATAACATGCAAAGAGGCTGAAAATGGCACTGCACACCCATAACCCCAGCACCCAGAGGGTTCCACCTGGGCTACAAAGTCAGACCATCTAAAACTACCCCACAACCAGAGCAAAACAAAACAGGAGTTGATACAAAGTATCATCTCTGTCTTTCAGCCCTCAGCTGCAGCTCTTAAACTTGGTATGTTTTAGTATTCGAATTTTTGAAAGAGTAAACAGAACTTTTTTCTATTACAAGTAAAAAGACAAACACAGAATTTGGAATCTGGGCTACATAAGTGTAGTACCAAACAGTGCTACAGAACATTGGTGCGACCCGAACCCTGACCCTGGCCCTGGCCCCTCAGGGGCTGCATCATCTCTGCAGTGCTGACAAGCCCAGCATGTCCCATGCAAGAACAGATGATGGGTGCTATTCAGGTTACAGGAAAGGCATCATAAATAGTGCTTATAACAATGGTTCTTTACTTTTGGACCATCTGTGCTACTCTAAAAGAAGATGACATTGCCATGAATAGGCTGTTTTGAAAACAACATATACCTAAAATTCTGCATATGATCTCAGCGATTCATAAATTCTCTGAGAAAAATGAAAGACAGGTTAAAAACTCCTAATGTATAGAATTAGAACTACTAACCATTATTATAAACAAAAAAATTATGAGCCAGACTTTTCAGAATTAAATATAAAAAAGGATTATGTTAAATTAGCTGTCATTTATTGAAAATGAAATCTGGACAGGGATTTAGCTCAGCGGCATAAGTGCCTGTCTCGCAAGCAAATGGTCATGAGTTTGATCACTGGCACAAAAAAAAATGAAATCTGATGAAAATGTATTATATGCAAGAGTACAGTATACTAAATGTTTTACATATATTATCTCATCTAGTATTTCCACAAACCTGGATATACTGTTCTTTTTTTTGTTTGTTTGAGACAGCGTTTCACTATGTAGCCTACACTGGCTGGAACTCAGTGATCCTCCTCCGTCAGCCTCCTGAGTGCTGGGATTACACGTGTGAACTACCATACTCACATATTCTCATTTTAAAATAAGAAAACTGGAGCATAGAAAATTGAAGCAACTGGCACAGCAATCCTAGTGGGAAAGTGGAGTTTGATTTACAATCTGTATTTTCATTCTCTATTATAATATATTAATATATTAATGGGCAGCATTGAGTACATTTTTAAAAGTCAAATCTCTGTTCCTTAAATCATGCAGAGAAACTGAACTTTCTTGAGTCACAATTTGTACACAGATACAAAAAGGTAGACCTCCTTTTTCTCTTGAGTTGCGAAGCCTAGAGGGTTCTGTGAGCCCCTGGACTTTGATCCTTGTGTTACCCCAAATCACCCGTATAACTGAACACAGTTTCTAAACTTCTCTGCATCGGATTAAAAATTGCAGCCATCCTGAACTGTAACTACTGCTGTGCCTGCCCGAGTGACCCCAGGCACTCCTTACTTGTTAGCTGACCAGCACACAGGTACTAAGTCAGATCCTTCGTAAGCTGACGCAGTACACTGTGAAAATCCACAACTGAAACGTCTGCAGTTGGAGACTTACTATTCAGAACAGACGTGGGCCCCTGGCCCAGGCCCGTTAGCTTGGGACTCATCAGGTACATTCTGACCTGACCTGGAGGATGTCACTTGGTCCTAAGCAGTATACCCATCTCTCCTTCTGACCTAACCTGGGGTAACCACTTGGTCTCTCTGCCACTGCCACTCTGTCAGTAATTCCTCCAAACTGCACCTTGTGCAATCATGCATCTGTCTCTCTTTTTCTTTAGTCTCCAGCCCTTGTATTCCAATTCTCATGCTTGGGGAAGGGGTTGTTTGGGAACAGTGACTTAGTTTCCTCGAGGTGGGGACTGCTAGGATATGGACCTCAACAGTGTTGTTGTGAAGTCTAAATGAATTCTTATTTGTGAAGCAGTTAGCACAGAATAACTGCTGAACTGCCAGTACTCCTTGGTATTTGACTTCCTGTGTCTATGTCTCCTGAAGGACTCATCCAGCCATCGGTGGGGGCTTTCTGGAGGTGGCTAGATCTCAGAAGTGTGATGCTGGGATCAGGGATCGCTGAAGGGATTAAGGGTGGGCATCCTGGGTAAAGTATGAACAACAGGAAGGGGGTTGTCACTTGTCACTTGCATGCTTTACTGCCCTCTGCTTCCATGATACTACCCCTCTGCCACGCCAACCTGCCTCAGAGCCCGGCAATCATGGATTGAAACCTCTATAAGCTGTAGCTAAGTAAAACTTTCCTCCCTTAGCTTTGGTGTCTGTCTCAGCAACAAGAAAGGTAAGAAAGACACTGCCCGTATTTAAATGGCCAGCCCTACCCTCTGCTGCTGCTGAGGAAAGGAAGCTGCTGTGCTCAGGGTGACAATGCAGATGGTAAAGAAACCCTATAGGCTTTGAGGCCAGGCAGACCTGAACTTAGAACTGGGACTCCTTTAGCTGTGAATATCTTTCTTCTCTTTGTCTCTTTCACTTCTCCCCTTCTCAACACATTCTTGATTTTTCTTAATGAGTCAGTGTTGACACACAATAATCAAATTCAAGCCAGAATTTCCAAATAATGGTTTACTAGGAGAAACAACTGAGATTTTTTTTTTGCCCTGAAGGTTGAGTTGGGTAAAAATTTTCTTTCTTTTTTTTTTTTTTTTGATACCCGAGACTGAACTCATGACCTTGCGCTTGCCCGGCAGGCGCTTGTGCCACAGAGCTAAATCCCCAGCGGTACGCTGCATAAAAATTAAAGAAAAACAGATTTGTATTAAAGTTAGTCCCTTAATCTACACTCATATAGTTATATATTCATCTATACTTCTATCTGAAGTACTACAGAAGGTGTAGAAAACAGGAAATTTTGTCTGCACAGATATTATTTGTGGAAATCATTATGATCACCTACTTGTCAATACATGCAATATATGCTGGCAGAAATAAACACATTTTAAGAATTATCTGGAAAAGAAAGCTTCAGATTTATTTGCTTACTTCTTGAAGCTGTTGTGGTATAGATAGGCAAGTCTCTTGCTGCCCTTCTCAAAATTGCTTGTTGTCTTTCTTGGTTGTCTTCCTTTTCATAAGCTTCCTTTTCCGAAGTAGACAAGTAGAACTATAAAAGAAAAACTATTAAATTGTCTGAATCCCAAGATGTTAACTCTCACATCTAGAAGAAGTTTCATTTAGAATAAATACCTCACAAATATCTTGTTTTCTGAAGGTAACATTCAAACTTCTTTTATAAATCAAATATATTTTTAACAAAACTACATACAAATTTTTAAAGAATACTTTGCATATCAATGATGGCACAGAATATGAGCTCAACATTTTTGCTTTTCAGAGATGCCCAAGCCAGTGCGAATGCATTAAACCCAGAGTCTTCTTAGGCCCCTAAACGTCTTAAAATATATTTTACTTAGGGCTAGGTGTAGCTCAGAGAGTAAAGCACTCGTCTGGTACGTGTAAGACACTGGGTTTGATTTCCAGCACTACCAAAAGAAAAAGAAACACACACACACACTTTTTTGTTTGAGTAAAAACCTATCATTTAAAAGTTACTGTCAGGTAGTGTTTAATCTTTGGAAGGATGTCCAAAGCTTCATCGGCTTTAGATAGCAGGGAAGATCACAGGTGGGGTTCTATTTTTTTTTATTGTTACACATCTCAATGAGGTCAACAAGTCCTTTTCTTCAACATTTTTAACTCTTCCAAAGCTAACAAATAGCACTGTTTTCTCCAGAATTATCAAGGCTTGCGGAGGCAAGAAGGGCCCTTTCACCAGGAGCAGTTCCTTTCCAGGGCTGCTGCTGCACGATGCAGACAGCCTCTGACTCACTTCTCGTCCTAAAATTCCACCTACCAAATACTCATCCACTGCTCTTCTTCCGCGTTCACTCAGCAGCTTGAGAGCCTCCTTTTTATGCTTTGGTTTGATATAACCAAGAACTTTTAAGTTCCTAACAGTCTTATTTCAGATTCTCTTTATAAAGCTAAAAATAAAAATGGCTTGAGACTTACTCTTAATTGTGTTTTATGTTTTTAACAACCCTGCTCAATTTTTATCAACATTATTAAAGTCTTTTATTTAAAAAGTCTGAAGAATGGTAACTGGAATTCTAAGCTCACCTACTGAAGGTGTATGCTGGCTCTACCTTCTAAGTGCACTACCGAAGCTTCCTCTACTCTGTGTTCCTCTGTCACTTTAAAGTTGGCTTAGTGATGTCACCTGTTACAAACAAGGCAGTAGTTTGGCATAGCACAGTTTTGCACTGCAGAAAATCATGATTCCAAGAGGGTGAGGGAAGCTTTACAGATCACAGGCCTGCTGGCAGAGCCGATACTAAAACTCGAGGGCTTCTGCACTCCACAGCACTACATTTTCCTGTGTTGTCATCGTAACATGTTCCTGCTTTTTATAGATGGGTACTCTAACCCGACTGATCACTGTCATTCAGGAAGTGGAAGAGTCTGCCTAGATGCACACAGCTTGGCTTCCACAATTAAAAGACTACCACGCAGAGCAGTCAGAAAGATCCCCGTGACCTTACATGTGAAAATATTTAAGGATCTGGTGGTCCCTCATCTTCTGACAGGCTGGGCTCTTCAGACATTTTCAGAGGGGGTACTTTAACATGCTTTCAGAGATAGAAATAAGATCACAATGTTAAATATGTATTTGAATGGAGAGGATTTGATCAAACTTTAGTTTTCTTATAAAATCTCAACAGATCTCCCTAGGTGATACTGTATCTAGTCTGAGTCCTAGACCTCAACTCCATACTCTTCTATTCATCCTCATTGCTTTAAGTTTATAAATTATAAAAAGTTTAAATCAAATAAAAATTTCAAGAGACAACAGAATTTTAAGAAATGAAATAAAACAAAATTCTCAGGTGTTTGAAATTACCATTAGGTCTATTTTCATTCAGAACTATTCAATGTAACTCAGATTTGTGAAACGCCATTACTATCTGCTTTGGTTTGGGAGCAAGAGGTGACAGGGTCTGGCTATACAGCTCAGGCTGACCTTGAACTCACTGTGTAACCCAGGTTGGCACAGACTTACTGTGACCCTCCTGTCTCAGCAGACTATAGGTTATTATCTTCAATTCGGTGCTTAAGTGTATATTAGGCTAGGGAGTACATCTCAGGGGTAGGCCGCATTCTTTGTATGTACAATGACCTGAGTTCACTTCCAGTATCAAAAAAATTAAAATTATTTTTAAAAAATTAAATGTCATCGATGGATTAAATGATTGAGATAGTGTGTTCCAACTCCTGGATAAAAGTCATGCCCCTGTGTCTGTCTCCTGAGTGGCTAAGTTACAGGCATGTGCCACAATGCCTGACAATAAATAAACATAAAATACTAAGAGTTAGGCACTAACTGTGATCTCATATTCACAGCTGAATAAAAAGCCTTGCCTTGGGGCTGGGACTTAGCTCAGTGGCCTAAGTGCCTGCCTGGCAAGCGGAGGTAGTGGATGCCTGTAATTCAAGCACTTAGGGAAGATGAGGCAGGAAGATGCCAATCAAGGCCAGGCTGAACTACACAAGGAAATGGCGAGGAAGCCCCAAAACAAAAGAAAAAAACAGCCTAATAGGGAAGTTAGCCAAGAAAGCAAAGAACAGCAAACTACAATCAGCCTAAGTATGCAATGTTCCATCAGGTGCACTGAAAGGTCCCTTCAGAGACTGGAGAGCTGACAGTGAAACTTATGTGAAGATGCAGTACCTGAGCCAGCCTTCAGAAAGACAGACCTCCAGAAGATACAGGATGGAGAACAACACATGGGCGCACAGGGTGAGAAAGCACGGGTGCAGCGCTCCGTAAGATGCAGTGGAGGGGAGGTTAGTGAACTTTTAGTGTGCAGAGACTTCTGGGTGCCATGCAAATGAGCTCAAGTTTTATCTCACATAGACTGCCGACCTTGAGGATTACAACTGGAGTGATGGGACCGCATCTTCTCTTTAGAAAAGATGGCACCTGGTGGTGGGAGACGTCTACCAGCTGTTCACATGCTGCCGCTGCCTCACTCCTTCCACCCAGGTTCCTATCACTTCACCTAACGTGGCCAGGTCTAATGTAGGTATGGGGATAAAACGGCAAACACCTGTCCTTCAAAGAGCTTAGTGGAAGAGATTTTTAAAGGTTATAGCTTGGATGCCACTACCTCAGAAAGGATTTCTTTGGCCAGACTACCTAATGGAGCTTTTGCTCTGTTATGCTTTACCACATGATGCTCTTTTTCCTAAATTCATCTCAATTTGATACTTATCACAATTTACAATTATTGTTTGCTCATTTACCATCTGTGCACACAAATTATAAAAATTATAACTTTTTATTTGTAATCCTCTGAACCTAGGACTGAGTCAGACAGGTATTCAGTAAATTTCCACTGACCAAAAAAACAGTGGAAAAATCTGTTCTTGTAACTTTCCTAAAAACTTTTTAAAAACTTTTTAACCCAATCAGTTCTCTTAGGCTTGACTCCAAAATGCTGCTCTAACCTCTGAACTGTAGTCCTCCTAAGTAAGACAGCTGCATTTGCACCAACCTCAGCCTTAGGACCGCTTCCACGGCACCATCTCAGTCACACTGTGTAAGCTTCCTGAGTGAGAGAATCTGACATTCTTGTTCCTGCTGTCACCAGAGCTGAGTTTAGCTGGCTCGCAAGCATTCCATAATTTAATTCTTTCAACAATTACTGACAGCAACTACAAGCAAGACTGGTGGCGGGGGCCGGGGGGCCAGCAGTAAATATGACGGCAGCATCCCTGTCACAGACAGGGTAAAGGCTGCCAGGTAAAGGCTTGAGGAGTCCAGCGGGTTTACAGGAGTGAATATGAAGAGTAGAGCGGATATAAAGTCTTAAATGAATGCAATACACCGAGACAATACCCAGAAAAAGAAAAATAACATTTAAATAGTATTTATTATGTGTTGAGCATTAAACACTTTACATATATTATTAATCATGTAAGTTGTGACTATATACACAAAGCTGCCCCATTCAATGCTTTCAATAATTTCATGTGTTATATATCACTGTGGCCTTCACCTACAGAAGAGGGATTAGGCATTCTCTACAGAGTCACAGAACAAGCAAATGATTTGGCTCCATAAATCTGACAGGTTGTTCGTTTGGTTTTTTTTTTTTTTTAAAGGCAGGGCTTCACAATGCAGTCCAGGCTGGCCTCAAACTCCAATGTTCTTCCTGCCTCAGTTTTCCAAGTGTTGGGATTATTACAGGCATGCTCCACCATACCTGGCTTGGTTCCAGAATGTGAGGGTTTTTTTTTTTTTTTTTGGATTGGGAATTGAATTCAGGACCTTGCACCTGCCAGGTAAGCGCTGAGCTACATCTCCGGCCCCAGAATTTGAGTTCTCAACCTCTACATTATTATTCTCAAATATATTACAAATTATTTTTTCTTTTTTAAATTTGTATTACTATAATCATATTTCTGTATTTAATTTTACACATGCTATATTTCCAGTGATGATCATTACAAATAATTGAATGAATAAAATTAGGTCTTTCTCAACTTACGAGATTAAGAAATGAATAGCAGTTTGTCAACAACTTTAAAGGTTGACTGACTGACTACTGCCAAATGCTCAAAAAATGTCTATAATGAAACATTAAGTTATGATTTATGGTCTATCTTACCTCTCAGAACAAAAGCATGTATCCAGAATGAGGGGCAAATGCCTATGTGATCATTTGTACTAATTTTGAATGCATATTCAATGTTACACAGTAGCCTCTTTGGAGTCTAGGCAGAAGAACTAGAGAACAGCACCAGGCCGTTTAGAGCAGCCCTATTTTTAACAGCCCCAAATTGAACTCTCCCAAACACTTATCAATGGCAGGCTAGTAAATAAAACTGTGTTACATACCACAACTGACTACTAATGAGTAATGAAAATGAATGACCTACAACTGTATGCAACAATACAGATGAATCTCACGAACACGACAATAGTAAGAAGAAGCCACACACAGAGAGAAGACTGTGAGGACCCCTAACATGACGACCCACAGAGAAGTACAAAGACAAGCAAAAGGAATCTATGCCACCAGAAAGTGGGAGGAGCTTCTCACACTCTGAGTAACTGGAAGGAAGCATGAGGAGGCCAAAAATGTCATCTTCCGAACCAGGCTGGGTGGTGGTCACACAGATTACTTATGCAGTTTCTGAAATTTCACCGGGTGTATACTTATGACATGCAACTTTTTGGCATATATGTTCTCCATGAAAAAGTAAAATATATCACTTCTAATGAATTTTGAAAAACATGAAGGGAAACAATTATGTTACCACCGTGGTTTCATTTTTGTTTATTTTTTTTTCCTTTGGTGGTACTGGGGATCGAACTCACAACCTTGTGCTTGCCAGGTAGGTGCTTATGCTGCTGAGCTAAATCCCCAGCTCCTAGCCCATTTTTGAGTAATAATCACATGGTCAGTACTAAGTTAAAAGGTTTACTTTGAGAAATCTCAATCCTCAAACACTGCACAGCAACAGGCAAAATGTCAGCTCTACTTTCTGATGAGAAAACTGAAGGTCAGAGAGATTAAGTAATGTGTGAGAGCAGAAAATCTAACAGCCACTCAATACTCTTCATGATCTTCTACACTGAATGTTCAGTGAAGAACAAATAAATGCAAATAAATGTTCACTTATATTATTTTCCAAGTGGAACCTCCAGTTAGGAGAAAAATTAGTTATAAAATTTGTGGCAAGCAATAGCCTAAACAATTTCCTCCCACGATTTAACATTTTCTATAGTTTTAGCATATCTGTTCGTGCTGAAAAGACACAAATAAACTCTACTTCTATAGTTTTTACACCAGTAATATAAAAACTATTATTAGATTTTACTATGCTATGTCAGTAAACTGTGTCTGACAATACGTTGGTGACTCACATTCACAATATGGATTTATTAAGCAATATCATGAATGGAAACACAACAAATGTATTACATAATTGTAACATAGGAACACAAGGGAAAAAGATTCCATGTAAGTTAAAGCATTTGATAATTTACCAACATTAAATTTACCTCTTTGCAAGGGGTAGCGGGAGATGTGAATATTGTCATCCAATAGGACCATACAAACATAACAAAGAACAGATGAAAAGCCACAAGGTAAACAACGGTCTTTCCTGGTAAATAAAAACAAATAATGTTTCATTGAGTCTAGGTGAAAACAAGAAAAGGCATTACAATAAAACAATATTTGGATAAGGAGACTTAACCCAATTAAAATTTAATTGAGATCTATTAAAAATTCAAAAACTAAACTTTTTATCTACGTGATGCAACATTACTAGATACAAAGAAATGTTTCGTTCGTTTATTAAAGGATTATCAGCTTGATTTATTAAGTTATTGAGGATTTAAACTAAAAACACTTTTTCATTCACTCTATTTTTTTTTTTTTTTGTCTTTTTCCTTTTTATCGGTATCAGGGATCGAACTCACGACTGTCTGCTTACAAGGCAGGCGCCTATGCTGCTGAGCTAAATCCCCAGCCCTGATTCCCTCTATTTCAAGATTTCCCTGAACATTAATTTTAATTAACTTAAAAGTCATTGAAGTGTCCATCACTATGAACATTAAATATAGGAAATTGTACACTGAAAATAAAAGAAGTTACCATGACTAAGAATAATTAGTACACTTCAGTAATTCATTTTCTATTATATGAGAAAAGTACTCTACATTTCATTTTCATCCAACACAAGCTAACAAAGATTTTTAACCATGCTCAATTCCTACCACAACTGTCTCCCTGGTGACCAATGTAACATTCCAACATCTTTGCCTCCAAATGCTAACTTACTGGTAAAACACTAAGGCTTTATGTGTGTGAGTGGGGTGTGGGTATCTTGTGGACTGGTTTCTGTCAGAAACGAGAACTATCTACCAGGTGCTTGGGCTCTTTTTCAGCTTAGGCTGCAGGATCACAGACCCACTTGAGATGGCCAAGAACACACGAAGCATCAAAGTTTGAAATTCTACTTAGTTTTAAGGTTTAGACCAGATCTTCCACAAGGCAGTCTTCACCAGTTTCAGAATTCATTACCTCCTCATAGCATATTCCCCAAATAATTTGCTCAGACTATAAGTAAAGCACTTGTTTCAAAACAGGAGCTAAAGTATGGAAAACACTTAACAGAGCCTGGCATACAACAAACCCTCAGCAAACGCTGGCTGTTATGATAACCACTACCAGGCAGTCTAGTCTTTCTCTCCTGAGTCTGCTTCCTTCTAGTTTTCTATTCAGTGTCTTTCATGGCTGAGGACTGAAGTTTTCACTGTTCTGCAGTCAAACACTAAGAACAATGCAGTGAAGCTTTCATAAATCTACCCCATAATTCAACTGGAACTGATCTTTGTCAGGCTATTTTTCTTTATAATTTTGGTTTCAAATATTCATACTTTTTAAATGAAATCATTTTAAAACCTGCCAATTTTGCTGGAACCCAAAGTTTCCTTTTGTAACTGTTCTGGTCAATTCCAGATTTAGGGACTAGAATCCCAGTCACACAGGATGACTACTGCAGAAACCAAGGGCTCAAATGCCTCTCCTCTCTCTTGGCTAAAGTAGAAACACTTCTAAATCTGCTTCTAAAATTTCTTTCAAAGAGAACGCCTATTTTAACCACCATTGCACAGCTGGATTCCATTTCACCTGGATCACTGCAAAGGCCACCAGTCTCTTCCCTTAGGGTCTTTCTTCCTCTGACCCCTCTCCATGGCCAACAGGAAATGCACTGCCCTAGTTTCTTCTCTTTTTTGACTGTGAAATTCCTGGAAAGCAAATCCATCTGTGTGGCCGGAGCACCCTAAAGAAACTCTGAGACTTCCCAGTCGCCATACCTGACCATAACCACTCAAAATTACCATTAGTGTCCAGTGATTTATTTCTAACCCTTATAGTAGTCCTGTATGGTAGTCTTCAAATTGGCAAAGTTAGTACCTGGTCCAGTATTAGTTACTAAGTGATAATGCCAGAACTCAAACTATATCTATCTGTTTGACAAAACTCCACGGTTATTTTTACTATGTAATCCCTACAGTTGACCTTCTCCACATTTTAACCACAAATGGTCACATTCTAAGCCAACATCCTGACACCAATACAAACTCCTACAACTTCCTCCCATTTTTTCTTCTTCTCTCTCCACCTTCTTCCGTCTGAGCAGACTGCTGTGTAGCCCAGGTGGGCCTGGACCTCCCAGCCGTCTTCCTCCCTGAGCCTCCCGAGTGCTGACACTCCAGGCCTGCATGCCATGCCCCATTTGTTTCTTCCTTTCATTTTCAAATGTGTTCTTCTCATTTCTACTACCGCCTGACGTAACCTCGGAACAACTCAAACTCCGTATTCTTCTGTTGCAGGGATGTGACTGAACTGCAACTCCAAACCACTGTAGTAAGCCTGAACACTAAAGTTTTAATTTAGAAAAAACAGCCCAGTAATAGCTTGGTTTTTTTGTCTTTTGGGGGCAGGGTCTCACTACGAAGTTAAGGCTGGCCTTGAGGCTCACCCTGTAGGCCAGGCTGGCCCTGAACTCCCAATGATCCTCTGGCCTCAGCCTCCTGAGTGCTGGCGTGTGCCACCATACCCTGCTAATATTTTTTGTCTTAAAAAAAAGCATGCTCCATGTTGTTAGCTCCCTCCTGGTAACTCTTGTGATCTACAGTACTCCACACAGTGAACTCAAAATTGGTGCTTCGTTTAACTTCACCTAAGCTCACTTCCATTATTTCTTGCCTGGACCCCATATTCCATGGAGCTTTGCACTCCGCATTTCAACTGCACTGTACAGCTTCCAGATAAACAGTGAGACTAGCATGTAAGACAACAGACTCTTGAAATATTTCATAACATGTACTACATTTTAAAATGATTTCTTCTTTATGAGCACAAAACAAAAATGGTATGCTTTCAAATACATTTTCAGTTAAAAGAAAAGTTAAAATTAATCTCTAATCATGATGCCTGAAATACAGTAATTATTGAATTGACAATAATTATTAAGTTATACTAAATAATAATATAAAATATAGCTACCAAAGTTCAAAGTCATGTGACTTAATAGGCAAACTTCTGATAATACATACATACTATAAATCATTGGTTATAATATATGAAGTAAAAACTTAACATTAACTAATTAAATCAAAGCTAAAAAAAATCTGAGCCTATGAATCAAAAAGTCTATGCTCAAACATCCTTAGTAACTGAATTAAAAAAAGAAGTTAAAGGATTACTTGAGAGACATGGTAAAATTGAAACAACTTCTGAAATTAAATTTACATATATATATATATATATATATATTTTTTTTTTTTTTTTTTTTTTTTTTTTGAGACTGGGTCTAAATTCAGACTAGGCTTAAGCTTCTTTTTTTTTTTTTGGTCTTTTTCCTTTTTATTGGTACTAGGGATCGAACTCACGACTGCCTGCTTGCAAGGCAGGCGCTTATGCCGCTGAGCTAAATCCCCAGCCCCTAGGCTTAAACTTCTAATCTTCTTGTCTCAGACCTCAGACTTCCAGATTGCTGGGACTATACATGTGCCATGATACCCAGCTGAAATTCTCTGCTTCCTGTGAGCACATGGCACACAGTTATAATTTAAAGATAGGGCTACCAAGACTGCTATGCTTCTCCTGTTACTGAAAAATGAGACTAGAGGTCTAATGACCTCTAGTAATAAATATTTAGTGAGGGGCAAGGATTTAGCTCAGTGACATAAGAGCCTGCCTGACAAGCGTAAACACATGAGTTCGATCCTGGTACCAATAAATAAATAAATAAATATTTATTAATAATTTCTGACTATTCAACTGTTTGAGAAGTCCCTGATTTTTATGTTAAAATCAAATTTTGTAGTGAGATATGGTGGTACACATTTGTAATCCTGGCACTCTAGAAGTCTGAGGGCAGGATTGAAGTTTTCAAGCAACTTAGATTATCTTAAAAATAAAAAATATATAAAAGGTTGGCTGAGAGTACAGCTCAGTGCAAAGACCCCAGGTTCAATCCCCAGGAGGCAGTAAATAAATAGTTTCTGAAATTTCACCTCAATAGATTTCTACATATTCTTATTTGGATAAAATGTTGAGAAAATGTTTCCCTGACTCTTTGGCTATTCATTTTAAAAACCTTAAGTGTCTTGACTTACTAATATAATTTACAAATTCAAAGTCTAGTTATTTTATTAAATCTATGCACACACTATTTTTCACAAATGTATAAACAAAGAGAACCATCAATAAGATTTAGGTATCATGGAAGCAGAATCCCTTCAACTCAGCTAAAACTGACATTAAAAAATCTAAATATGGAGTTACATTAACATACATGCAGAAATACATATAGAAAGAGTTTGAATTTTAGGTGCTTTACAAAATAATGGCTATTTCAATTTATATAAATAACAAAATAAGAATATACCAACTCGGAGATAAATCCAATTACTCAAATTTTAAAGGGATGTATCTGCTTATATTTTTAAAGACATGGTCTTGCCATGTTCCCCTGGCTGGCCTCCACCTCCTTAGAACTCCTCCGCTTGTCTTTGTCTCCTGAGTGCTGAGACTAAAGGTGTATGTAACTGCACTTGATTCACACATTCCCCCTGAAAACAAAAACAGTGTAATCCTCACTAAGTAGAAAGTAGGTGAGTTCCAACTAAACACCTAAGCATTTTACGTAAAATGAGATCCAAAGTGACTTACCATGATCTTCATTTCTTTGTTTACGCATTTCTTCAATGGTAACTAGAACAGAAGAAAAGACAGTGAATAAACATACTTTAAACATTTTTGTATGTAAGTTTTATTTCAGGTCGAATATTATTTCAAAAACATTAAAATACTAAAATTCAAATCCTTTATCACTAACAGTACAGTCACTTTATTTATTTTTTGTCGTTTTCTTTTTTATCGGTACCGGGGATCGAACTCACAACTGCCTGCTTGCAAGGCACTTTAAAACACTTTACAGTCACTTTAAAACTTCTTTAGATCTTTATTAACTTGTAACATTTTCTTCAGCTCTTTCCTTAATAATCCTACAGGCTGAACAGGACTATCCTCCCTCTACAGTACTTAACTTACCATAACCATCAGCCTATGGTATAATGTATGTTACCAAGTCCCATGTAGAAGCTACATGCAAGATAAATTTTCCTTAACTAAAAAATAATAGTGACATGTATCAGGGAGGAGGAGCTTTTTCTATCTCCTTAGACATCTACCTTTTCTTTGTGTTTAGTCTTCAAATACTAGGACTTAATTCTTCCTATCTGTTCTGGAACACATCTATCAAACATCCCTCACATCTTGCCCTCTACGTTTTCTAGCTTCTAGTAGTAATTATTCTACTCTTGACATCAACTTCCTTAGCTTTTGCATATGAAAGAACATGTGGCACTATACAAATTCACCTTCAAAAGAAAAAGTGAATAATTTATTCCTGTAATTTTTAGAGTGGTTATTTCTTTGAACACTCAAATGCTCAAGGATTAAAACTGTATTTTCTTCCATGTTGCAGTACCACCTTCATGAATATACCCCAAAACCACTCCATTCTACCACAGCGGGGAATTACTATTTACTCCTGCTTTCTGGATGGTCTGAAGCTCTAGGTCTGGTTGATTCTATTTTAATTATTGCCTCTTCTTCAACTGCAACCTGTCCCTTCCTATTGCCTCCCTGAAAGGCAATGGCGTAAGGCGTCCTCTATTAACCTAACACACTCTCACCAGCAGTGAACCCACATTTGAGCACTCTGCAAACCCTCGGTCACTTTAGTACAAAATCTTCAGGGTAGCAAATACTAAAGGTTGTTGTAAGCTACAATCTATCTGTCACTCTAGCTGTCACTTGCCCATACCTCTGGCTTATTCTGAATAAACTCGTTTTTTTTGTCTTTTTTTGGAGACAGGATCTCACTCTGCAGTTCAGGCTGGCCTTGAGCTCCCTCTGGAGCCCAGGCTGCTCTCGAACTTGCAAATCCTCCCGCCTCAGCATCCGATTACAGGTATACACCACCACACCCAGCTATAAACTAGTTTTCTGGATTCATCAGTTTCACAGACACTGTGTTCCTTCCCTCTTCATCCTTCAGTGTCCAGTTTATACACTGGCGACCTCCTCTGTAAGGCTTGCCAAGTCTCTCTTAAAGCTAAAAAGAACACTCCTTTCTACCACCACAGCTCGCTCACTGTTGTCTACCACCCTCTCCTTTGATCTGTCTATTGGACTGCGTACTCCTTTAAGTGTGGAATCATGTAACAATAACCACTGGAAGCTCCCATAGTTCCATTTTCCCGCTAAGTACACTAAGGTTCTAAATAATTAAATGACCTCTGCCTGAGGTCACAAAGCTAGTATATGTAGTGGGGCAGACTGGGACCAAAGTCTACTGGCACTTGCATTCTTTTTAATACTATATGTCTCTTATTATATCCCTATAGTCTCAAAGCCTGATACATAGCAGCAATGTGTAAAAATATTTACTGAGCTAAAATTCATTTTGACTAAAATCTCCTTGATAAAACAAGTGTATGAATATTCTTAATAAACCAAAATACATCTTAGCCCCTCAATCGGCATACATGAAATAACACTAAAGAAGCACCCTCACTATATACCCTTGTCTACAGCAGCGTAGTTCAAAATAGCTACATCTTGGAAACAGCCCACATGCCCACCCACAGAAAAAGGGCAGAACATATTTACAGACAACAGGGTGCTACTCTGCCAGAATGGAAGACAAACTTGAGGCATTTTTAGGAAAACTGATGTACCTCATGATTGTAATGTTCAGTGGAATAAATCAGACACACAAGCTTCAACACTGCACAGTATTCCTTATATGAAAAAATATGTATGATATACAGATAGTAATCACCTATAAATTATAAGTATATAATATATAAAATATACATAATATGTAATATATAAACAAAGTATGAAATAAAAGGTAATAAAAGAGCGAGAGAGTATTCTGCTCTTCATGTTTCTGCTGTTCATTTCTAGTTTCACTCCAATATTTCGTGAAAATTCATTTTGCAGGGTTTCCATTTCTTTGGATATGTTATAAAGTCTTCATTGTAGCTATGAGCATGGTCTATCCTTTTTTAAAAAAAAAATCCATTTATTTCAAAGAGAAAAAAACAAATAAAACAAAGTTTCAGAACAATCAGAGGGAAAGATGGTGCACACATTGCACACTGCTGTCCCCAAGTCAGTCACTGAACACCACCAGCCCAAAACCTTCTCATCGAACTCATAACTCTTTTAACTGTATTTTATACATAGACATATGTACATATACATACAGACATACACATATATTGTTTCTTTTAGCTTTTCACACTAGTGAGACAATATGTTTACATAGAGCATGGGGTATCCTGAATTGAAAAATTTTTTCTTTTTCCCCAGTACCGGGGATTGAATTCACAACCTCACACTTGCCAGGCAGGTGCTTATGCTGTTGAGCTAAATCCCCGGCCTTAAAAGTATTTTCTAGAACCAGAAAATCTATGAAGACAGACAGTAGCTCAATGATTGCCTATGTTTAAGGCAAGGAGGAACTGAGAGATGACAGCTAGTGGATGGGTAGTATGCTGCACTTTGGGACAATAAAAACGATCTAAAGTTGATTGTGGTTATGATTATATAATTCTGTTAATATGCTAAAATCTACTGAATCACACACTTTAAGTTTGTAGGTTGTATAGTACACAAATCTGAATTCAATGAAGCTGTTATTTTAAAAAGAAAACATTCCCATTAAAGTCAGGGACAAGGACTGAAGATATAGCTCAGCGGCACACGTGCTTGCCTGGCAAGCACAAAGCCCTGAGTTCAATTCCTAGTACGAAAAACAAAGTCAGGAACAAGATAAGTACTTGATTATTACTTTTTTCTTTTCAGTTTTAAAATGTCTTCCATTTCTTTGTTGAGATTTCTAATTTTTTCCCCCACATTTCAATTACAAATGAAATCATTTTTAAAATAGCTGCTTTAAAATCTTCATCAAATACTTCCAACACTGTGTCATCTTGGTTTTTGCACCCATTTTTTTTTCCATTCAAACCAAAGTGCTCTCAGTTCTTGGTATGGCAGGTGTCTTGTCTTGGTCAATGCCTCCTTACTGAGACACTGTACCTGACGCTCACACTTAGTGGAGGAGAGATTCATTTTGGCTGACCGTTTTAGAAAACAAGAGTCCTAGACTGGTTGCTCCAGGGCAGGACAAGTATGGTGGACAGGTCTAGTGGAGGACAGCTGCCTATGGCACAGTGGTCAGAAGCACAGAGACAAAGGGAAGCCACACAGAGAGAGACACCTCCCCCCCGCCCTACCCCAGCCTCCTCTGACAGACCCCACCTCTTAACAGCACATTCGATCATGAACACATCAGTAGGTTAATCCCACCATCTTCCAGATGAGGGAACATTCTAGGTTTAAACTGTAACATTCCACCTTTGACATCCAGAAGACTCAGATCCATCTCTTTATGAACGCATTTAGTCTAAGTCACCAAAGTTCTAACAGTTCCATTACTGCTGCACAGTGCAAGTACAAAGTCTTCTCTTAGACTCAGTGCAAACCCTTAGCTATGAACCCCTGCAAAAATCTAAAAGAAAGAGAATGCTAAAGTCAGGCACGGTGGCACACACCTGTAATCCTACCACTGGCAAGCTGAAGGAGCATCACTAACAGGTCCAGGCCAGCTTGAACTACAAATTGAGTCTCTGTCTCAAAAGAAAACAAACTCAAATGCCTCCTCCAAAAGAAAGAAAAGGTTACATACTTCCAATACAAAATGGCATAGGGTAAGCATTACCATTCTAAGGGAGAAACAGGCAGACAGGAAGAAACAGGACTAAAATCCTACCAGAGCAAGCATTCGCTCCTCCAGCTCTGTGTCTAGCACCCAAGGAAAACTGTTAGGATCTGAACTCTCAGGTCTTGGGTGGGCCCTACCACCCTGCTGGTGGTTGTAGCACTCATTGCTTTTAGCCATGGGTGGAAATGTAATTTCGAGGGTAAGCACTTAGGGATAGGATTGCCAGATCTAATGGTAAATGTATATTTACCTTTACCAGGAGCAGTCAAATTATTTTCCAAAGTGGTTGTATTGTTCTCTCCTTACGGGTACAATGTATCCATATCTTCAGCAATACATATACTTTGCCAATTTAAAATTTTCTAACTAAAAAAAATGGATAGTGGTACCTCACCGTATTTTTGTTTTCCTATTGACCAACAATGTTGAGCATCTCAGCATGGGCTTACAAGCTGTCTGTTCTTGATTTATATAGATGCATGTTCAAACCAATGGGCCTTTTTAATTATGTTCACTTTTTTAACATAGGGTTTTGCTATAATTCATGTTGGTCTTAACTCAGGCTGGCCCAGGCTGGCCTCAAACTGCCTCCCTGCCTCAGCTTCCCAAATGTTGGGATTACTGGTAGGTGCCACCACACCCAGTTTGTTGTTTGTCCTACTGAGTCATGAACTTTTTGTAAGTTCTAGATAGGCCTGTAGTTGGGGCACCACAGTAAATTTTTTCAAAGGAGCCCTACATAGGGAGTATTTCTATTGATGAATTTATTTATTTTAATTTTATGAGTTTTACAAATGTGTACTTAACAGGAAAATAAAATATTAAATTTTTAATATGTACTGAGTTTTTCGAATGTCAGTATTTTCAACATTAACTGTTTACTTGCTTACAAAACCTAAAAAATAACAATACA